ACGCCGACTATCCTGGTTGCCGGCACGTCCGTCGACCAGCACTGTCAGCTCGCCGAGCTCCTCTCGTCGACAGCCGCTCACAAGTATCACGCAGGTCGACCGACTGGTCCGTCGACCTCCCCTGTCGAACTAGGCTGCCGACTGTCGTTGATGGCGGCATCGGAGCGATCGCCTGTAGGTCGACAACCCCGTCAATCAGCACGCGTCTGCGGAGATAACTACTACAACGAGAGCTAGACTACGGGCTAGGCACGGGTGCTCGTGTGATCTCTGAGTTCGTTGGTCCTTAGTCGTTTCCTAGTGCACACACTGCTTGCTAGTTCACGGGGCAATTCGGCAAGAGTTTCACTAGAGAAAGTTGACAACAGTGGTACAAAGAAGTTGGCATGGCAAGACTACATCAGAGCTAGTATACAAGTCGATCGACTGCCAGCACAACATGGTCGACCGCGTTCCAGCACGACTTGGTCGACCGCGCTCCAGCAGTGCAACGTCGACGGCGTGCCAGCGTTGCTCCCGTAGAACAGCAGCGCACCTACTTCGCAGGTGCTCGTAGATGATTGGCGGGCTAAGCCTTGTCACCTGCACAACGCACATACCAGGTCATCCTGGCGCTGACGACTGCATCTGATCAGCCACGTCACCTCGGGATACCACCACCGAGGTCGGACTCGCCAACTTCGCCTGGGCGACCGTCGCACTCCTCCGCAGAACCTCGTCACCCAGGTAACCTGGTCGACCGGGCAACCACGTCGACCAGCTGCTCCTTTATGTGCCCGACGACCTCCCAAGTCGACGACCACCCCAAGTCGTGTTACGATACGGTCTGAACTGGTAACCGGGTTTAACTAAGGGCCTAGGCTTAGAAGCCTAGGCCAAGCGGGTATCGAGGGAGTTGTGTCAAGAGAGAATTGAGAATTGATTGTGTTCACTATAGGACCAAGGTACAAATAGCAAACAACGAAGAGGTACACCACCAAGCAGGTTTGTATAACTACACTAAAGCTAAAGCTGCAGGCAGTTATAAACATATATAAATATATATCGCGACAAGTCGACCTCACCAAGTCGACCACGCCCCTGGTCGACCAGCTCTAGGTCGACGTTACTCCTGGTCGACCAGTTCCACGTCGACCAGCACTCCTGGTCGACCAGCTCCATGTCGACCAGCGCAGTTGTTAGCCGACCACCCAAGTCGGCTACCCGAAGTCGGCGTCACCAAGTTGACGCCCTGCTACTCGACGCCCAGCTGCTCGGCGTCCTGAATCGAGGTCGACGTCGGCCTCTCCTTCGTCGACCACCATGTTAAGTCGACCACCAGGTCGACATCACGCCTAGTCGACCAACCACCAAGTCGGCCAGCAGGCCTGGTCGACCAACCACCAGGTCGACCAGCAGTCCTGTCAGTTGTCCACCGAAGTCGGCTGCCCCAAGTTGGCGTCACCATGTCGACGCCCTCCACAGGTCGACTTCCCAGGTCGACCTCCCTGAAGTCGGCGCCCGTGCAGTGGCCCCCGTGCAGGTCGACCTCCTCGTCAACCAGCTCGCCCACTGCTGCAGGTCGGCTGCTCCCCTCACACCCGACCACGAAGTCGGCTCCGCCCAAGCGAGGACGGGGCCAACACACAACTCCCGTTGACAGCGTGAAACTCTGCAGAACTGTCGGCCGCACTACCCGCACGTCCGACCAGGAAGTCAGCGTCGCCCAAGCAAGGGCGAGGCCAACAACAAACTCCCACCCACTTCGTTGAACAGTGGTGAAGGGCGGTGCAGAGGACCTTGCCGATGTAGCGCACCCAACCAAGTACATCCCTGCCACTTAGACAAGCAACATATTGTCGTCGTGGTCCTACGGCTTCACGCCACTGCCCTTCAGCTGGCCGGGTGACAGCAGATTTGTCAGAACTTTGGAGAGATGCAGCACTTCAAGGACAAGGATCGGCTTCCCGACCTCCCTTTGCACGCCGACGGTACCGCGGCGTTGGATGACTTGAATCGCCTCGTCAAAGTCGCGCGCGTGGTTGGCATCATTGCTCAGCTGTATGTCGACGAATGACTCTCTCGTTCCCATCAGGTGATAGGAGCGACCACTGTCGAGTTGCACCACCCTTAGATTCGCATGCACAACGACGGCGACCGCCTTCAAGTCATCGCTAACTTCTGGCGCCAGCGAGATCGTCAGCTCCACCATGCCTACCATCGAGCACAAGGCGCTTCGTCGCCCAGTGCATTGCCGTCAAATAAGTCGGTGTCCTTCGTCATTGACGTCGACTTCGACGCCTACCTCTACTTGCACGGTGTGTTATTACGACGCTGACCATGTCCCGCACATCCGATTGCGAAGTCGTCTTCGTCCAAACGGGAGCAACCCCCATTTCCATCAATAGTTCGATCTAGAAAGTGTTGTGCATTGATCTTATTAATTTAATACGGATTTTATATTCATGCCTACACATAGTTATAGGGCCTTAGTGCTTCTGATAGAAAAGGTCATGAAAAAAAATGCATACAGACACACATATATATAAACGCACACACAAACATATGGACGAGACATGTATAACTCGTCAGTACTATAACTCATTTTGTTTTGCTAATCTGCAATTATGCATTCTCTGTCCCAAATATACTTTGTTTCGCGTTTTAAAGACATCGGCTACATGAATTTGCAGGATAATAAAGCATAGTTTCAGGTGTTAATAGATGGTTCGGTCTAGTTGAATTAGACAATTTGAATACCCCGTCCCCGCAAATTTCACGTTCTGCGACAGCTTTCAGGAAACACCAACCCCTATCTCAGCCTTTTCCAAAAATACCCCGATTGTAGAGATTATCATCATCTCCTATTAGTGACAAGTGTCGCAAAATTCTCGTAATGTGACCGTAACGCATCGACCAAATGTTTAGTTGGACCCACCTCTCATTTTGTGAGAACAGGCTGGAGGATCACCCTTTGGGAAAAGGGATATTCTTTGAAATAAAACTGTCGGTTCGGGTAGACCGCGAATTATTTCCTAGGAGGTGAAAAATTGGTGGTCTTGAATTTTGACAAAACATAATCAGGTCCCAGATGCGCGCAGGTGAGAAGGTCGAGAAACTGGGTGTATGTAGACGGTGGCCCCTGGGGTTTTCTGACTCATCGGCGAAGAAAGGGTTGGAGGTTGCGAGAGGTTGGGCGAAATCAGACAACCCAACCCAGCCTCCCAAAACGTGGCTGGGCTTCGCGTTCGCCTCCCCCACACCACCCACGAGTCAACGTTGTGCAACCTTGCTGATCTTGCGCAATTTGGGCTGTGATTGCTGGACCTATGGATGCTGCTGGCCTCAGCTCACACAAACCCCACTTCTTCCTCGCATTGCATTTGCACCTGCACCCTTCGTGTCGCAAATTGTTTCGTGAGCGTGTTGGTTTCGTGAACGTGTTGGTTTCGCGAGTCGCAACCTTTCAGAACCTGGAGTTCCCTGATTTTCAAGCCTAAACCTAGCGTTGACTACACAAGATGCCCAACCCCTGCGCGCGAATTTGCCCTGCACGCGGCGGAAACTCTGCACACGTGTATTTTGCGCCAGCTAGTTGCACCCCATGTACAAGCACCTCAACCTATACGAACCACAGAAATCGAAGTTTGACCGAAGAGACTGAAGTCAAAAGGTCAACGACGAGTTACAAAATTATTTATAAGCCCTTTTTGCTAAGTGCGAATCGACAAAAGCCTAGCGAAATGCAAGAATCACTTAAGAGCCCTCTTCACAAGGCAACCTTGGGTTAGTCAAACGGGCATCATGTATATTTACCGTTTGAAAAATCCGTCCTCACTTCGGGCTGTATTAGGACGTCCTTATAGATGCACTGTATCTTTCAGCCACGCTGGCTGCTTGCCCAACTTGGGCGAAGCACAAGCACAAGCATAGCATAGTATTTCACGGACTACTGTAGCGCTTGTGCCCGTTTTGTGCGTGCTTGTGCTAGCACGCAGGAGCGGACAGGCGCGACGCGCTTCTTGGGGGTTCCAGCGGAAGGGGGGTCATCATGATGGCACCGTCGAGGACATGCCGTCGAAACGCATGTTGGCGCGTGGACCTAAACTTATTGACGCGCAACTTGCCGTGGGGAGACGATCTTGCCGCGAGATCATCTCCCCACAACAACCCGCCCGCCCGGGCGTTGAGATCTTCGCCCGGGCGGAGATGACCTCATCGCCGCGCATCCCGGCGGCCCGGGCGGAGCGCCGAGCAACTCCGCATTTGCAACATGCGATCTGGGGCCCAGAAGAGCGCAGATAGTCTTAGTCTTAGTAAGGCAGAGCCAGATCCAGAGCATCAGAAAAATGTCGATCTGTGGAAAACTGGGGGGCGAGTACTTAGCCTTTTTTTGGGGTTGTCGAGCTTATACTACGACTATCCACCCACAGGCGTGCTCCACGCCTGCTCTCGCGCTGTAAGAGGCTCTTACTACTACTACCATGGGTGGCCACAACGGCCGCCACAACTGGCTATCCCGCGCCGCGGCGTGGCTCGACCTCCCGCCGCTCCCAGCGGTCTCCTTCTCGCCGCTTTTCCCGCCCACCCCAGCCGCTAGTATTAGTATTACCAGCAGGATGAGTAGTAAAACTACCGCGTCCGTGAGGCGCGCTGTCAGCACGCAGCGCACTTCTGTGCTCGTCAAGCGGTCCAGGCTCGCTGCCGCGTCGCTTTTCTCCATTGCCTTCATGGTCGCTACTAGAAGTAGCACCAGTACTACTAGTAGCAGCAGAAGCTCCGCGGCGCTGCCAGCCAGTCTGTGGCTCCTGAACATAATGGCTGGCAGGGGTGACAACCATGACCCACGTGCCGCGGCTGAAATGTCGTCGGCTGGACCAGCTAGTACTCTCGCTACCCCTACTACTTCTACTACTTCTACAACTTCTACACCCACAGTGACAGGATCGGGCCGTAGGTCCATGTTGTCATCTAAGCGGCCCACTCCACGGTTCTTCCTGTATCGCATGATCGGCAACGACATGCCCCCGATGCAGTGCGACGGACAGCTGTACCGGAACACGCTGTACACGCTGCAGCACGAGGCGAGGGCGCTTGGAAATGGCAACGTGCGGCGGCTGTGGGTGATGAACAACGTTCTCAACGACATGGAGCAGCAGCGTATTGTGGACGCCATCCTGAGCCACGGGTACTCGGAAGAGGTGAGCTGCTTCTGAGAATCATTCTCAAGAGCGTCAGATGGTCACGACCTACAAGGATCGGATTCAACGGCTGGCCCGATCCTGTTGTTAGTGTTAGCCTTCAATCTCACACTTTGTACTTTGTATTTTCTATATCCTAGAGTAGTGTAGTTTGCACATTGTGTTTGGTTGGGTGTACACATACATCCCAACCAAACCCAAATGTAATCTCCAAGCAATCTCCAACCCACCAATTGGAGATTGCCTTGGGATTACCCCCAATCCCTAGGGATTGCCGCCGATTCCCTTCCCCATCCATTCCCTCCCCTTCTTGGATGTACTTAAAGAGCTTCAAGCTCATTACTAATGTATCGCTTCTAAGCCTAAGTTCTAAGATGGTATCAGAGCCCGTCAACCGCACACGCGGATCGTGATTCTCTTATCTCTGCGGATGTTCGTCCCGCAAACCTCGGCGTAACCGCCTTCAATCTTGTCGCCGTTGATTCGCGACATTCGTGGGCGGAAATTCTTCCGCACCACTTTCCCGTCACTCTCGACGGCATCTACTATCTCACTGGTAAGCGCATCGTCGGCGCTTTAACCTATCGCTCGTTTTCGTCGAACATCATCGCGTCATTCCTTCTCCTCGTCGGGCTGTCGCCCGTCGCCCTGCAGCTTCTCGTCGGGCCGCCGCCCGTCGCCCTGCAGCTTCTCGTCGGGCCGCCGCCCGTCGCCTTGCAGCTTCTCGTCGGGCCGCCGCCCGTCGCCCTGCAGCTTCACCTTCGGGCTGCCGCCCGTTGCTCCGCATCTGCACTCCTACCCCCATCCCCCCCCCTTTTCCCGCAGCTGAATAGGTGCAGCAGCACAGCCGAGCAGCAGCGCAGCCGAGCAGCAGCGTAGCCGCGAAGCCGAGCAGCCGTGTAGCCGCGAAGCCGAGCAGCAGCGCAGCCGAGAAGCTGAGGGTGGTGTGTGGGGGGTGGGAATAGGAATAGTAGGTAGTTGACACTAAATTGGCGTTTCAGTCGAATTCTCCTTCAGAAACCCTAAACCTCAAAATTCTCTTTCGTAAACCCTAAACCTCCGGTTCTTCAAAATCTCCTTCGGAAACCCCAAACCTCAAGTTCCTATCGTTGACTCAAGAGCGGCGCTCCACGCGACACCCTAAGGGATCTTCATCATGGCATTCGCCTCGTCGACCATGGCCAACCCTATCACCCCACTCCGTCTTGACGCCGATGGCTCTAGCTCCAACTTCAAGGCATGAAGCTATGGGGTTGACAAGCACCTGCTGAGCCGTGACGTGCAGGGATTGGACCTCAAGGATGTCCTCCTCAACCGTGGCAAGGGAAAACAGCCCCTTCTCCCTCGCGAGCCGACCGAATCCGCTAGTGAGGCTGACACAAAGGCATATGAGGAAGCCGTTGAGAAGTACCGGAAGTGGGAGAAGGCCGATGCTGCAATTATCAGCGTCTTCATCGCCTCCACCCCTCCAGAACTTGTCAACACGTTCCATAACTACCCTACCTCCAACGCCATCTGGAAGTATCTCCAGGATCGGTTCATGAACAAGACTGCAGTCGGAGTTGCCATCCTCATCCCCAGCATGTTCCAGGTCCGCCTTGAGGATTGCTCGGGAATGGCCGACTACATTGCCAAGGTTCAGACCATTCATGGCGAACTCAAGGAGCTGGGTATAGTCTTCCCCGAACAGGCCCCTGCAGCAGCTCTTCTCGTTGGTCTCACCACAACCTATGAAATCACAAGGAAGATGCTCCTCACGCTGACTGCGGAAGACCTCACTTTTGCCAAGGTCTCCACCGCACTCCTCTCTGCCGAGAAAGACGCCACGGCTCAGGCCAAGGCTTACGCCATCCGTGCTCCCATGCCTCAAGCCAGTGTCGCATCGGCCCTTGCCTCGGCGCCCCTCCAGCGCAACCGCTTCCCACCGTGCACCTACGTCGTCAAGTATGGCAACCGCAAGGGACAAGTGTGTGGTGGCACTAACCACCCCCTTGCTACGTGCTTCAAGAAGAAGGACGACGAATGGTACGCCATCCACGGCATAGACAAGAGGCCACCGAACTGGATGCGTGCGCGTAAGGCCAACCTGGTTGAGGTCCAGGACCCCGCTTCGGCTAGTGCTAGTGATAGTGCTCCTGCTGATGCCCGTATCAACCTGTTGTTCCCTGGCACTGCCATGATTAATGAAGCTTCCTCCCAGTACCTCGGCTCATCACAAGCACCACAATACATAAAGTTCACACTCGACAGCGGCGCCACACACACTGTACTCAAGGAGACACTCTCATTCAAACCCTACGCAACACCCATCCCTCTCCTAGGAGCTGACTCAAGCTTCACCACTCATGCCAAGGGTTCATCCACAGTCCCGTGCCCCGCCTTCCCTTCCGGCACTGTCACTGGAATGTGCGTGCCTTCACTCCGCCACAATCTCGTGGCCCAAACGGAAATTCAGGAAGTTGGGCTACGCACCATCTTCTGAGAGAACGAGAACTATGGTGATATCCTCGACCCACTCACCAACAAGGTCTTGACTCGTTTCACCCTCAACAGCAGCGGCCTTTACACGCTGCAAGTACCCATCCCACAGGTGTCAACCACCCAAACAGCGGCGACTACCTCACCATGCTCGTGCCGCAGTTTCTCCAACCCGACCATACTCTACCACCATCGGCTCGGGCACCCAAACTTCCGCACACTTGCTGACATCGCCTCCAAGAAACTTCTACTCGGCCTGCCAGCCTCACTTCCTCCACCACCAGACTCCCCCGCTCCCACGTGCCTTGACTGCACCAAGAGCAAACTGCGTCAACAGCCCCACCCGGCCTCACCCTCTGTCGCAGCAGGACCACTGGACCTGGTACACCTGGACGTCTGGGGCCCTGCCCCTGTTCCCGCACGAGGTGGTTATCGCTACTTCCTGGTTATCATCGATGACCACTCTCGCTACGTCTCTGTTCACCTCCTCCACACTAAGGCTGCGGTTCCAGAGGTCCTCATGGCGTGGGTTAAACAGGCACAGACCGCCTTTGACCGCAAAGTCAAGCGCCTCCACTCAGATGGTGGTGGTGAGTTTTGCAACGACAAGCTCAAAGCCTTCTGCTCTTCAGAAGGCATCCAGCAAAACTTCACCCTCCCTGACAGCCCGCAGCAGAACGGCATAGCTGAGAGCCGCAACCACACCCTGGTGCAGATCACTCGGTGCCTCCTCAGCCACTCCAACGCTCCACACTCTCTCTGGGGGTACGCTCTCTACCACGCCGCCCTCCTCTACAACCTTTACCCCCACCTGCATCTTCCCGACACCACTCCAACCACACTCTGGCTCAGGAAAACGCCACAGCTCGCTCTCTTCGCGTTTGGGGGTGCACCGCCTATGTCCTCCTCAACCCTCAGGCTCGACGGCAGCACGGCAGCAAGCTCGGTCCCAAGACCCAGACATGCATCTACCTCGGACACAACGCCGACTCACCTGACTACCTCTTCCTCAATCCCTCCACTCAACAGTTGGTCCGGAGCCACGACGTGGTCTTTGATGAGACCCGCCCATTCTACTCCACTTCGGGACGGGACCCTCTCCCTGACCCACCCTCCCTCGTGTGGGCAGACTTTGATGCGCCTCCTAACCTCTCGCCTGCTCCGGCCCCTTCACCTCCTACCCCTCCTGCCACCGCACCGTCCCCCTCTGCGGTCTCTGACCCGCCCTCACCGGTGTCTTCGGCAGCTGCTCCTCCATCCCCCTCACTTCCCACTCCGCCGACTGTGCAGCCACCTCCGAGCGCACCTATCGCCTACCATCGGCGGTCCCACCCTCCGGCCCCACCTCCTCCCCCGGTTCCCCCCACCACATAGGAACCCGCTCTCCCACTGTCGCCCGAGCTGATCACGTACCACCGGCGGCCCATTCCCCCGCCCAAGCCTCCTAAGTCAACCCCTCCGACACCGCCTGCCCCACCCTCTTCTCCGGTGGCTCATGGCACTCGTTCGCATGGCGCTGCTCTTCCACTGGCGCTGGTTCTTCGATACACAGTGATCACACCGCCTCCTCCTGCTGGGGGGGATGTGCCCTCTACCCTTCTGGAAGACAGGCATGAGGAGCTGTGTGATCTTCATGCAGTCATTCCTCAGCTCTCGCACATCTTCCCCGACATCACTGACCCTCCCTCAACTTCGTGGAGAACCCGACCATCCCTATCCCTCTCACCCTCCCTCAGCTGGGATGGCTCTGAACTGAGAGAGCAACATATCCTAAGGCCAACAATCTGAGGGGGAGTTTGTTGGTGCAACCCTACGGTTTGCACTCGGCTTGTTGTCCGTGTGCGTGAATGCGTGTGTGCATGGAATGGTATGAGGGCATGGGATAATATATATTTCATGCTTATAATAGTGTGTGAATGTTGAGTCATGATCTCGAGTGTGTGTGTCGAGTCAATAGCGACTTATCGCTAGTCGCGTGTCACGCGGTCGTTTGTGTCTTGTGCACGGTTTCTATTGTGTCGTGCGTGTGGAACGTTCGGCGTGTCGCAGGTGTGTGCAGCAGACCCATCAAGAACTCAAGGATGAGTTTGTGGTGAAGAACCAGAGCCTTGGTGTCAAGATTCAAGTGATTGCGAGGCCCGCGAAAAGGGTACACCTCAAGATATTGAAGATAGTTACATTACTTTGTGTAGTGTAACATTTCACTTGGTGTAGGCCCTAGTGAAGGGTAGTTTCGAGACCCTTGGGTGCAGTAGGATGGGCGGCACAGCAGGGCAGTGCGGCTCGGTTCAGGCACGGCAGCGCGGCTCGAGCAGGGCGGCGAGGCTCGGGCTGGGCAGCGCGGCTCAGCAGGGCACAGCGCAGCAACGCGTTTGGCATCAACAGCAGCAGCAGCAGCAGCACGTGCGGGTAGGGGCGCTCGCGGGCAGGCAGGTGGCTCGCGCGGGTAGAGGCGCAGGTGCGCGGGCGGGCTGAGCTCACGTAGATAGGGGGCGGGCAGGCAGCGTTCGTGTGCAGGCGGTGCTCGTGGGCAGCCAGCGCTCGCGGACAGACAGCGCTCGCAGGCAGGCGGCGCTCGCAGGCAGGCAGCGCGCGTGCGGGCAGATAACACGCGTGCAGCAGGCAGCGCGCAGGCAGCGCGCATGGCAGCAGGGCAGCTCGACGCGTTTTGGGCAGGGCAGGGCAGTGCAATGGCGCTTCGGGCAGGGTCGAGCGGAACGATCGGTGGGCCCTAAAAAAAATCTAACTGTTAACCTGCTCTGAAACCATGTGCGAAGTGTCTGTGCAGGCATGCATGAATTAGAAAGAAGGGGGATACAAGTATGAAACCCTTGGTTTGTATCCCCTCTAAGGCTAGCCCCACAATAGCCTACAGAACATAAACATACAATGTTTGACATAGCATGCAGGGCTAATGAAACCGATTTCGCCACCCCACATTCAAAGAAGATGTGGGAAATAGATTCCACACAGCCGGAGTCACAGGAAAAGCATATGCCACGATCTCCAGTCTTGGTGAAGCGCAATCCTGACGGAAGCAATCGAGTGTAGAAACGAAATAGGAGGTCCCTCTGAAGGCTGTGTTGGTGCAACATACGGTTTGCACTTGGCTTGTTGTCCGTGTGCGTGCATGCGTGTGTGCATGGAATGGAATGAGGGCGTGAGATAATATATATTTCATGCTTATAATAGTGTGTGCATGATGAGTCATGATGTCGAGTGTGTGTGTGTCGAGTCAATAGCGAGTTATCGCTAGTCGCGTGTTACGCAATCATTTGTGTGTCCCGCGCGGTTTCTATTTTGTCATGTTTCTCGTGCGCGGTTTCTATTTTGTCCTATGTCGAACGTTCGGCGTGTCGCAGGTGTGTGTAGCAGATCCATCAAGAACTCAAAGATGAGTTTGTGATGAAGAACCCGAGCCTTAGTGTCAAGCCTCAAGTGATTTCGAAGCTCGCCAAAAGGGTACACTTCAAGATGTTGAAGATAG